GCAGAGGGGAGGAAACCATATTGCATTGTGGGAAAAGCTTGTGACTGTACGTCTGAAATGTACCCATGTCCATCTGTAATTCCAGTCTCCCATTTGGTCCCCTAGGGGAGTGTCCACCAAGTGGGAGACCTGTATAAATACGGGCAGGTAGCCCACAGTAAAGCCAGATCCTGTTTGACCCTCAATGCGGAGCTTCTGTCTCGTTATTGGGGGGATTTCTTATTTGCGCTTAGAGACTGCTGATTGGAACCGAAAGCCGCTTGGTGGATATCGTTGTTCGGTGGCTAGCAGCAGTTCGTGGATTTCCGTTCGGGAGTTTGGAGCCTTTCACGGATCCCGGTCGGGAGATTACCACTTCCCCTGATGGTGGTTCATATACTGCAGTCTATGTGAACGGAGTTATTGGTATTGCGAAAGGGGAAGGCTAACTAAACGGCGGTTTCGTTTAAAGACACCAGGGGTGTCTTAACAGTTGCTTACCCCTGTTCTATAGTATACTACCCTGCCACAGGTACTTGTTATACAATTGTTTGTTTATAGCTACATAACTAATTCAATGAAAAGGATAGATTACTTTTTGCTACAGCAGTTTATTTTTTTTTAATTGTTGCTATTATAATAACCGTGTTAATAGACCATAGTTATATTTAGGTTCAACCAAGGCCCAACCTCTTCTATATGCACTTGACCCCACCAGCATTTACATGTGCCACTTGCAGGAATGAAGAAAGATAACATAAATATCAAGTTAAACGCCTTAAGGACCAAACTTCTGGAATAAAAGGGAATCATGACATGTCACACATGTCATGTGTCCTTAAGGGGGTTAAAGGTCTATGCACCATAATCACTACAGCTTGTCAAATTGATTATTAATGGACACGTATCTGGATCTCTTAAGATAGCATTTTCTTGTCCCTCTTCAAAGTAGAAGTTCTTCCTTTTTAAAAAATATATATTTTTTCTAACTTTCGATTGCATTCATTAGCTGGGGATTGGCAGCTGACATGATCAGGTCAATAAATCTAGTGCATTCATGTGGGAACATTATTACAAGTGCTCAATATGATCCTCCAGATAGGACCACTGACATGCACAGCCCCACATTTGAGGGTACTACAAACCATATCTTCCCTGGTTGGTGACACATATTTTTTTGTTTTTATAATCCCCCTTCCTTGTAAATGCCATCAGCATGACAGTACCCTGAGCAACACATCTAATGGCCAATGATCTTTATTTGTGAATGTGTGTGAGTATTTGTGACTTCGTTTTTGGAAGAATATATGGCTTTTAGTTTTTATGTGTGGATATAGCAATGTATGCCTCTGTGCGAATAAGTGCAGTCTTTGTATGAGTGTGTGAATATGTGAGTGTGTGATTTTATTTGTGAATGTGTTGTTACTGTGTCGGTATGAAATGAAGGGTACTAGTTTAGGAGGAAGGGGTAATTGCATAGTTGTTGTGGGGAGGGATTAATTAATAGGGTGATACTTCACACAGGACAAGTCTGTTGATCCGCACTCAGGGAATTCCCAAAAATACATCAGGAAGAAATCATAGGTAAAAATGCACATTTATTGAAGTCAAAAAAGAATATACATATGGCAAGATACTAGAACAGCAGTCCTCATGTATGCTGTATTGTTCCAAGCATGTAAAAAATTAAACAAAAAAAGAGTTTGAGTGAACAAATTATAAAAAGATCAAAACCTGAGCATGGGACCACCAGCAGCTGCTCTACAGGGGGGAAACCAACAAAGAAGCCGACCCTAAAGAAAGTTTAGAGAAGTCCTGAATGCCTTTTGCAACACTGATGGTGCTTTCTCAACATGAACATTCTAAGGGATTCCTACAATTTTTTGTGTAAGATGTGTACAGAAAGGAAAAAGGGGGAAGTTTCCAACAGGGGGTACAGGTTTCAGTTGCACAACGTTTACATTCGGTAGGGTGGTATAGTGTTTGTCATTTCAACAGGTATATCACAGTATAACAAAGGATCACATACAGTTCCTATTTTTGTGTTAATAAAGTTAATAGAGTTTCCTGTTTTCTCTTACTTGGTCTCCCGTGTCAGTGTGTATCTCATGTATGACTCACGCAAGGTTGGTCGGGTTGGTTAGTCTTTAGCCTGCATGTAGGGTCCAGTGTGCCTGAAATCAGGGGGTAGATAGATTGGATATAATGGGGTTCAGGTATGGATCTGGGGGAAGAGCCGACAGGTAATGAGAGGGGAGAGGAGTGTGGGAGTACAGGGTACAATATGTAGTTAGCTAATATACATTGTAAGCTTACATACATTGTTATTTTATGTACATTGTTATTTTATATACATTGTTATTTGGTTGGCTATGATTGCTTCAGTGTTTGCTCCCAATATTGGAGCCAGGGTTCCCAGATGTTCGGGTACCTATTACGTTTGCCCAGTGTGGACCAGTGGAGGCTCTCCATTTCTCTCGTATTCTCGACCCTCGCTATCAACTGTGACACCGTGGGGATTGTGGTTGTTTTCCAGTATACCGGTATGAGATTGTTTGCTTCTCCTAGTAGTAGCCAAGCAAGAGTTGTTTTCCCTTGTTTTGAAATGTTTGTGGCCATCCCAGCAAGACTTGGGAGGGGGTTAGAGAGTGCGGTAGCTCTACGACGGTGTTGACTTTTGTGATTACTTCATCCCAGTACCCTTTGATCTTTGGGCATTGCCACAAAATGTGTTCCATTGTGCCCACCCCTCCCCCTCACCTCCAGCATTCATCACTGATTGTTGGCCAGAAAAAATGTAGTAAATATGGTGTTCTGTACCAACGTGTGATGGAGGCTAACATGGGTTTGGAGAAAATGTATTCCCATTCTTTATGTGTCATATGGATGCGGAGTCCCTTCATCCATTTCCTCTGGTAGATAAGTGTTTTTTGTTCCTTATGTGGTGTTTTGGTCATTTTATAAATTTGAGAGGGTGTACGTTTGTGTGTATTTGTAGCAGTGCATAATTTTTCAAAGGGAGTCAGTTCCCTAGGGGTCCAGTGTGGTAGTATATTGTGGGTCAGAAAGTGCTTCAGCTGGGAGCATCTCAGAGTCTCAGTGAGTAATTGACGTCCTCCTGGTCCCTGTAGATTTATGACTTGGGGAGGTGTATCTGTTGTTAGTATATTTTTGAGTTGTGGGTCTGATTTCCCCACTAGCTTCCCAGTATTGAAACCCCCCTCCCTCCCAGAATGTCTGGGTTGAGGACAAGTGGATATAAAGGCTATATCTTCTGTTTGATCATGGCGCACGCCCTCTGATGTCTTAATGTGTGATATGTATGGTTTTTTGGTGTTTGTCTTTTAGTGCCCTGGCTAGGTATTTCCCACTTTTGTTACCGTGTGCGTAATATGTCCCTCTGGTCAATTGAATTGCTCTATGGGCCTTCACTAGAAGGAGGTTGCGTAGTTCCATTCGGAGGGCTGTTAAGGTGTTGTATGTTTTGGGTGAGGAATCCGATTTATGTTTCAATTCTACTTTGGAGATTTCATTTGTGAGTGACTGGATTTTTGCTATTTGTTCTTTTTTAATGCGTGCTCCCCATTTGATCAGGATGCCCCGTGATATGCCTTTGTGTGCTTCCCATACCCATGTGTCTGCAGTGCCCCTGTCTGTGTTTTCTGAGAAGTAGAAACATAGAAACATAGAAACATAGAAACATAGAATGTGACGGCAGATAAGAACCATTCGGCCCATCTAGTCTGCCCAATTTTCTAAATACTTTCATTAGTCCCTAGCCTTATCTTATAGTTAGGATAGCCTTACCCCTATCCCATGCATGCTTAAACTCCTTTACTGTGTTAACCTCTACCACTTCAGCTGGAAGGCTATTCCAGGCATCCACTACCCTCTCAGTAAAGTAAGTATTTGGGAATGGAGTCATTAAGGCCCTCCTTTACTCTATGATCGCCCAACAGGGACTCATTGAGACACCATGAGCTGGCCTGTGCTCCCGAGTCTATGAGGGACAATGTAAGGAGCTTATGTTATCTTGGTTGCAGGTATCCATAAGTATAGTGATAAATATCAGTTCCCGGTTCCCGTGTGGCCGAGACCCGGGCCCCTGGGGGCGCGGAACACGTCCACACGGAATTCCGGCAGTATCAATGCGAATATATACATTAAACAATTTATACCGTGTGACATGGCATTAATGAGGCATTAATAGTGTGTGCCAAGGAGGCATTGTCAGTAAATAAAAAGGATATGGTAAGTTTTCATGGCGTTCTGTGTATTGCGCCCCTTGGTGTCATAGTAAGTTAATTGCCCGATTGGGCTCTCTTTGGTCTCTTTCTTGGGGTTCGTTGCCATTTGACCCGTTGGGGAAGTTGTCTGTCCTTATCTGATGGTAGGCCTGTCCAGTCTTCCACAGGTTCCATTGGGAGTCCCAGGGCCTGTTGAAATGTCGAGATTGTGTGCATAGTCTGTTTACCACCAGTGCAAAAGGGAACGACCACCGGAATCGTATGTTGCGCTCTGTGAGGGCCGACGTGACCGGTCGCAGTGCTCTTCTTGCAATAAGTGTTGATTGTGCCAAGTCCTGAAAGATCAATATTTTATGGTCATTGTGGATAATTTCTCTAAGTTGCTTGGCTTTTTGCAGTATAGTTTCTTTTAGTGGGTAGTAGTGCAGTCTGCAGATGACATCCCTAGGTTTCTCGTTAGGTAGCGCTTTGGGCCTGACCACTCTGTGTGCTCGATCAAATTTGATGGATGTGTCTTGCGGCCTGTCTAGCAGCTTATTAGAGGCTTGTGAGCGTGAGTGTTACATTTTCACTTTCCCTGTCTGGGGCCTCAGGTAATCATCTTATCCTAAGGTTATTGCACCTGCCCCTGTTGTCCAAGTCTTCTATTTTCCTTTGCAGGAATAGTATAGCCTCATTGTGGGTTTGTTGTAATGATTGTATGTTAGTTAGGTGCAGGGCTGTTGTTTCCCCCTCCTCCTCTAGCGTTTGTACCCTGTTGCCTAGGTGGTTTACCTCCTCGTGGAGCATTGCTAACTTGTCCCCAAAGGTCTTCTCCATTTTGGAAAACATTCCTTCCAGGTCTCATTTGAATAGCAGTTGTGAGAGGAGTGTTTTGATGTCTGCTCCGTCTATGGAACAGTCTGAAGGAGCAGGGCGGGCTGGGGTGCTGCAGTTGGGGGATTTTCCCGCTGCGCGCCGCCATTTTGGATTGCGGATCTGTCTCTGTTTTTTCTGCAAAATTTCGCCGCAATGAAGTTTTTGGAGTGGTAAGTGTCGTGGAGGGAGTATTACCTGCTTGTGTCCTAGTTTTTTTTATGCCATGTCCTAGTAACTGCCGGGATTCCTGTGGGTTAGGCCAGTCCTGAGCGGAGCTCGGCTCTCATGTGGCCATTCACTCCCGTGTCCAAGCCGCGCCCCGGATTCCTACAATTAATAAAGGAAGAGGATGTGCAAAAGGCCTGGTCTATTGAGACTCACACCCTTAATTAACTGATTGAAATCCCCACCTTTTACACCCTTTCAATGCAAGAATAATCAAATCTCTGTATTTAGAGTTTCCTTAAAGTTAGCTTTAACACACAAAATATAAGTACTAACCAGGCAGGCAGGCATGACAAGATAAAGAGAGAAAGAATAATAATTATATCTGCCTTATTCCATGATTAATTCCCAAAAATGTTATTCCAATTTTGTCTTACTTCAGGACCCTCCATGAAAAGTTACCACCCCAAGAAAGGTTTCAGTGGAAATTCTGATATAGTTTGTGGAATAAGGGAATTAATGTAAAATATAACGTTCATATGTGGGTTTACTTAATGGTTATGTCTAAAAAAGTGTAAGTGGACTGGATCTTAAACCCAATGGCCTTAAAAAATACGCAATTAAGGAACTACATATAAACCTTCAGTAACCCGTTTTTAAATGTGCAAAGGAAGATTAACCTTCATTATCATCTGTTATACATAATGTTATAATATCTCTACACAAATAAAAAGTTTACAACCTGTGAAAATGTATCTACAGGCTGCCTTAGTCCATTGTTGCATTGGATTCTGGAAAGGTCCCAAATATAACGGGAAACATGTATAGTAAGATCTAACATTAATTAAGCGAGCTGATCTTGTCATCTTGTTATAATTGATGTCTATGTAAGGAAAGGACCCAAGTAAGAAGGGAGATAAAAAACAATAATACACCTCAAATATTTTTTCATCTTAAAAGAAAGAAAGTTTTGAAATAAAAATCCTCTTTATAAAAGGGAATAAGCAAGAAACAGACAATCTCTATAAGTGAATGTGATTAAATTAAAAAGATAAGATACACAGTATCAATAAAAAAATTAGCACAGAACATGAAACATGGTTTACACTGAAATGTGCATACCTATTATGTCGTTGTTACCCATAAGCATTCTATTTTGGCTATTACGCCCATCAGAATAACTAAATCAAAAAATGTAAAATAGAGGAAAAAGAACATTTTTCCAGATAGCGCATAAACTACATCAATACAATGAAACCAAAAAAGAAAAGAAAACCCCAAAGTCATAACTGCACAAGCAAATCTCCTCGAAGACAAAAATATAACAATCAGTAAACAATCCTGGTTATATTCCTAAACATTTGCAGACTCGAAAAGTATCCCTAATTACACCCTTTTAATGTCTAAAGACATGATTGATATCCCATTCTACATTGAGTCCCTGTGGGAACCTAGTTTTCAGAGTAAGGATCCAAAACATTTCTTTTCTATGTAATAATTTCTCTAAATTACATCCTCTGGGGCCTAATCTGCAGTTTTGAATACCCTGGGAAAAGAGCATTGACAGATTAGCTTCAGGGCAAAGTCTAAAATGTCTTGACACCAAAGTTTGCCTTGTGGAATTGGATTTTATACTTTGTATATGTTCGGCCATTCTTATTTTTAATTTACGTTTCGTTTGCCCTACATATTGGTTTTTGCATTTCAAGGAGTAATGAGGTATATTACCCCTTTCGTAGAGTAATTAATGAAATTTTTGATGTCATATTTGATATTAGTGATTGTAGAAACAAAGTGTGTACTCTTATTCGTAAAAAACTCAATATATACAGCTTTTTTGGCTGCATCTATGCATGCCCTTGCATGTACACCAGGGCCCAGAAATTTTGTTTTCTCCCAAATTTCACTTTTTAATGCCAGGTTGTAGTTTATTTTAACTTGTTTGTGTGTGTATAAGCACTTTCCAACAGCCTATCCCTTAATTCACTCACCTGGGAATGGAACAAACTCTCTGCCAAGCAATTCTTGCATAATCTCAGGAATTCTCCTAATGGTTTTGCCTTGAAGGAGTGGCCAGGGTGACAGCTGTCCACCCTTAGTATTGCATTACCAGCTGTTTCTTTTCTGAAACCTGAAGTTATAATCATTTTGTGATTGCGGCTACATGTTTTTTGTGATTGAGGGATTTTGTTCACTTACTTTTCCTCCTTGTTACTATTAATTAATTAATTAATAGGGGCATGTGGTGATCTGAATTGATTAGGGAAGGTGCTAAGTTCCCAAGGTAACTGGGTATGTCAATAAAGTAAATAGGGTTAATTGACAGGTTAATGTTAGGATGTGATATCAAGGAGAAGGGAGTAATTAGCAGGGGCTTTGATTATGTTAATGAGATAAGTGAGGATGGGATACTTGACATAACTGTATTACAAAGGAGATGTAAATGTATTCATATTTGGTTTCTGTATGTTAGTTGAGGGTGCAGTATACAGGGTGTAATAAAAATGTGTACAGATAATTTATTGTATTGGCTATACTATAGTTTGGCTTTTTACCTTCTGATATTGAACTCTGGATCCAGGGTTAATGCAGAAGTTAATGGTCAGTGGCAGGGATATTACATTTGTGTTGTGTGAACACTTTGAAAAAGCCTTGTTGTTGACGAAACACGTTAATGATTTACATGTTTTTTAATTTTTTAAACATTTGTTTTTATTTGTTTTCAAATAAAAACAGTTTTTTATCATATTGAGACTTTTCTGATTTTATCCCTGAGGAATTTATTTGGAGAACTCATACGTCGAATTCATTGGTGAGGAACATACCACCTATGCTGTCTAGGATTGAACAATAATTGATTTATACATTTGTTTTTATTATTTGTTTTCAAATAAAACTATTTTTTTTTATCATATTGGGACCTCCCTGATTTTATCCCTGAGGATTTTTATTCAGAGGATTTGTACTTCAATTTACTTGGTGGGGAACATACAACCTATGCTCTCTCAGATTGAATGTGAGTATACCTCCTTTACTCAGTCAGATGTATCCTTGGATCAAGCAGCTATTACCCTACATCAGGCATTTGCAACCTTCGGCACTCCAGATGTTTGGACTACACCTCCCATGATGCTTTGCAAGCAATATGGGTGTAAGAGCATTATGGGGGATGTAGTCCACAACATCTGGAGTGCCAAAGACTGCCTATCCCTGCCCTACATTGAAAAATTATATCCTTGAATATTCTGTTTTTGTAGGTATGTATCTAGTTGCTGTTTGAACATCTGTATCTACTCTGATAAAACCAATTCTTCAGGCAGAGAATTCCACACCCTTATTGTTCCTACAGTAAAAAAACCTTTCCTTTGCCTTAGACGAAATCTTGTTTCTTCCGGTCTAAACACATGCTTCTCTAATTACTTTATCTAATCTATAATTTAGCCTATTTGGCAACACCAGTAGATTATCACTGAGTCCTAGACTCTGCTGTGTGCTCTTTTAATGTGTATCTGGAGACCTGGATTTTTGCCTTTGAGGCCTGGTGTGCATCTTAAACAGAAAAGGCAGCCAATATCCTGGTATTAAAAGCTGATATTTCAGCATCTATTTACCTGTGCCCCTTCTCCCCCCCTTGGACCAGTGAGGCTTTCCAGTTCTGTGTGGGCATATCAAGGCAACCTTACCTTGCAGACAATGTTGTATCCACAGCCGGTTCCCTTATGTTCCACTATAACCAGGGCTGGCCTTAAGGGTGTGCGAGCTGGGCGGCCGCACAGGGCGCCATGGAGCAGGGGACGCCGTGCGGCTGCACAGCTCACACATGACAGGCCGGGATTTAAAATAAATAAATAATTGTAGCGGGGCTGAGCTTCCCATGAGGCGGGGGTGGAGCTAAAAGGGCTGGATAACTGCTGCAGGGGAAGCAGGAAGGAGTCCCTGCTTCCCCCAACAAATAGTCTCCTGGAGCTGCTCTGTCTATCTGCTTCCACAATGAACAGAGGTAACTATGTGTGATTGTCTGTGTGAGTGTGACTGTTTGTGTGTGTATGACTGTCTGCCTGCCTGTGTGTGTGTGTGTGTGTGACTGTCTGCCTGTGTCTGTGTGTCTGAACTGTCTGTCTGTGTGTATGACTGTCTGCCTGCCTGTGTGTGTGTGTGTGTCTGTGACTGTCTGCCTGTGTGTGTGTCTGTGTGTGTGACTGTCTGCCTGTGTGTGTGTATGACTGTCTGCCTGCCTGTGTGTGTCTGTCTGTGTGTGTGTCTGTGACTGTCTGCCTGATTGTGTGTGTCTGTGTGTATGACTTTTTGCCTGCCTGTGTGTGTGTGTCTGTGACTGTCTGCATGTCTGTGTGTGTGACTGTCTACCTGTGTGTGTGTGTGTCTGTGTTTGTGTGTATGACTGCCTGCCTGTGTGTGTGTGTGTGTGTGTGTGTGCATGACTGCCGCCTGTTTGTGTGTGTGTATGACTGTCTGCCTGTGTGTGTGTGTGTGTGTGTGTCTGTGTGTGTGTGTGTATGAATGTCGCCTGTTTTGTGTTTGTGTTGTGTGTGTGGCTGTCTGCCTGTGTGTGGCCAGTCGCTGTGTGCGTGTGTGTGTGTGTGTGTGTGTGACTGCCTGCCTCTGTGTGTGTGTGGATGTCTTCCTGTGTGTGTGGATGGCCGCCTGCCTGTGTGTGTGTGTGTGGCTGTCTGCCTGCATGTATGTGTGTGGCTGTCTGTGTGTGTGGCTTTCTGCCTGTGTGTGTGGCTGTCTGTCTGTGTGTGTATGTGTGTGGCTGCCTGTGTGTATAGCTGTCTGCCTGTATGTGTGTGGCTGTGTGTGTTTGTGTGTGGGTATAACTGTCTGAATGTATGTGTGTGTAAGACTGTATGTGTGTGACTGCCTGCCTCTGTGTGTGTGGATGTCTTCCTGTGTGTTAGGATGGCCGCCTGCCTCTATGTA